CCCAGAATTCCCCAGCCAGCATTCGCTGGCTGGGGAATTCTGGGAGTTGAAGTCCGGACATCTTCAAGTTGCCAAGGTTGAAAAACACTGGTCTAAAGGATTGGGAATATTAATTTATTTCCCAGTAACAAAAATTAACAGTGCTAAAGCATACTCAGTCACGCTATCTTACACACCACAGTAGTAAAATAATGTCTGAGGAAATAATGTCAGAGTGCTAATTATGAGAACTAATAATGAAGATAAAGCTTTGGATATATAATGTGAACTCCACCAACGTTTCCTTTTCCTGATGCTACAAGTTTTTCCCCTCCAAACTATTAATATTATTTTCTGGTTTCCTGATATCAATTTTAAATTAAATGTTACATCCTGTCCTAACTTTTAACAAACTTTTGATAGCTTTTGGGATCTGCTCAGCTCTTTACAAACCTTAACTAGCTGTCCCTTTCTAGAACCTTCTTCACAATAAGTGTGGCTATTGGGAAACTAAAATGAAAGATGTGCAACACATTTTAAAAGAGGAAATGAAAAAGTAAGAGAGGCAGAAATGGTTTTAAAAATCATAAGCAACAAATATTTACTGCATCTCTTCCGTAGCTGTATAAAAGATACCCTACCTCTTTATCCTTTTAAATATGTCAATTATACATGTCATATGGTGCTTTCTCAGAATGAAGTCTCATTTATTTTCATGTGATTCATTCTCAAGTAATATTGTAAGAAGAAGAGCATAATCAGCCCTGATAAATTGTATAACAACTCATGAAACATGCTGAAGTCACTATGCCAAAGAGGCGTATCAACCTCTCTCAGGTTGTGCCCATGGGAATTCTGCAGTCATTAAATAAGACTCCAATTCATGGTATCTTCACTAATGCGATGAAACCTGTTAAGGCTCAGAGAAACTCTGTGCAGATGTCCTGTGATGGTCTGGCTCTAAAGAGGGTAGCTGTACTGGACTGCATTTTAGGGAGTGACCATTTATTATGGTCAAACTCTTGTACATCATAACCCTTTTGTCAGCTTGGTTGGAAAGTTTTAAATGGACTGTCAATCTCTGTGAACATCTGGAGATACCGATAGACATTCATACTTTTAAAATAGAAATTTAATATTAGATTTTTTTCAGTTTTCAGGAACGTAATTTTTAATTGCATTTTTATTACGTAAACTGCTTTTAGCCTCTGTTTTTGAAAGGGTAATGTGCATATTATTTCACAAATAATAATTGGTTACATGTTGATAGGATGCAATGAAATTTCCTGTTTACCCCACATACACCCAAAAAGCAACCCAATAAATCATCAGCAACTGATTCAATCTAGTTGTGTTGTTAGCAATAGCAATAGCAGTTAGACTTATATACCGCTTCATAGGGCTTTCAGCCCTCTCTAAGCGGTTTACAGAGTCAGCATATCGCCCCCAACAATCTGGATCCTCATTTGGTGCCTTAAAGCCTCTTTCCCTGCTCCTCCCTTACCTCCTCTAAGCTGCAAACTGTGTTCCTGCATTTGCCCATGTGGCTAGTGAAGGAAGAGGTTGTTGGAGAGCTCAGATCCTCCTGGGTTTGAGAAATGAAGTCTTGGACAGAAATCAGATCCGTCATTCTTGCGTCTGAGGTGGGTGGACGTAGCAAAGGAGCACACAGCCTTGGGCTATCCAGCAAAGTCACAGAGGTGGAATATCAGGCCACAGAAAAAAAGGGGAACAGGATTGAGAGGAAGCAGCTAAGGGTAGCTGAGAAGACCACAAACCTCTGAAAAGCAGAGCAGCCGCTTGCTCATTCTCCCTCTGTAATTCTGCTTTCCTGTCCACACAGAGAGAACAGTACTTAAAGAAGTCTTCAGACTCATGCATTTTTTTACCACCCGATAATTGCCTATCTTGTGACTTTCCAAGGCCATAGAGTGACTCGGAGAGGAGTGTTTGGCTACCAATTCTCTTTAGGAAAATAGCAACAACACCTTTCTTCTGCCAAGCTTTTAAATTTTATTTTTTAATATATTTTTAAAATATTCAACAGTCTCAAGTATTTTCATAACAGAAAGGCAGAGTATACATTCCATAATAAATAAAAAATAAATAAAGTTAGGCTAAAATGTTTTTTGTGTGTGTTTAAAGTTAACTTTTTAAAAAATTCCTGGATGCTGATTACTATTTGTACAGAGATATACATATGGCAGACACCAAAGATAGCAAGGATCATGTAATTTCGGTTCAGCACTGGACTTTCCAAATATTCAAAACCAAATCAAAGATATCTCCCACTGAACTCCAAATAGATATCTAGTACTGTTTGCAGTGTGATCATTGAAATGAGGTTGGTGTTCATATCTGTTTAAATCACTTCATTTAGTGCAGTACTATCGGTAGATGCATACATATTGCTCACAACACACTTTACAATAGCTGAAAGTATTTTGACACATATTTATGAGCCAGTTGGTCCTTTGGAAATTAAAGATTAATCAATAACATGATTTGCAGAGCAAGCTGAGTTCCTAAAAGTTTGATGTTGACGGCTATAAACTGATTTTTGATACCTTTTTTGTGCAATCTTGCATTGTAGATTTTCATCCCCGCTATTTCACTATTTCAAATAGTATTTCACAACACTATTTGTTGTCTCATGCAACAAAAATCTGCGGCAGAATACAGTGCACTCATTTCATCTCATTGTTTATCAAACTGCACTGATTCCCTATAAGATTTTGGGTACAATTCAGGCTGCCAACTATCTCCCATAAGACCCTTCATGGCACAGCTCCTGAGACAGCCTGATTTCTTCAATTATCTCTGCTCAGCCCAGAGGCTCCAGCTGAATGGACACATTTGGAGTCTAGGCTAGTTGTTTAGTAGTAGATGGATTATCCAAAAAAAGAACCAGAGAGACCTAGGCTTCCTGATACAGTAAAAAACACACACAGTCCCCAAAACCCTCTTTTTATTTCAAAGCCTGTGAATTATGTTCATTCACAGCCCATAATGAGTCCCAACTAGTTGTAAAGAGTCCTACAGTAGGCTGCCAAAGTCTTTCGATAAGGCTGATAAGCACCCCCCCTTTATCTTCCTTGAAACACTGCCAAAGAAACCTTTGCTCCTCCTTTATGTCCTATGGGAGGGGCCAATCACCTCCAAACCTTACTCCCGAGTCATCCCTTCTGTCTTGACTGATCTTGCCTTCTGGCAGTTCTGCACATGCGCGCACTGGGAACAGGGGGAGCCTGTTCTTCTGCCTCATTGATGTCCGACTCTGGAGGCTCTGAAAGCAGCACATAATTCCCAGATGGCCATGGCCCCCTCTCTGCCTCCGATGCAGAGCCCTCATCTGAGCCTTCCCCAGACTCCAGGACTGGCCCATGTTCTTCCCCAACCTCCTCGCTGTCCGACTCTGTTGCCAGCGGACCACAACACAAAGTAAGAGTAGAGAACTTTCCTGGAGCCTAGAACAAATGATGGGGGTCAATTTCTCCAGTCTTTTGGTTATAAAATGAATGTTTATGTTTGGTCATGTCCACCAGAGAAGCCATTTCATCAATAGACGACCCACAGACTCCATATTATGAAAGCACTTACAATATGCTCTCATGATTTCCCAAATATCCAAAGCTCATACAAGTTTGCATGCTCTTTTGATTAATAGAACATAAGGTACTGAATAACTACATAACCCTACTAACCCTACTATCTTTCCGTTTGTGAGTATTTCTTATGTAAACAAATGTGGTTTGGTATTCTAGTAGTCCAAGTGCTCAGATCCACAAACAGCAGCACATCTCTACCTCTCTCAAATTGGATATTGTGTTATTAGCTATTTGGTAGGCATGGTTGGAGAGAGAAAATAACTGTGCTTGGTTATCTACAAAGGTTGGTATAGACCGGACCTGCACAACTTTTGTGCACTTCCATGGCAAAACTCACAAAGGATTTGATACACTTAATACCTCTAAAGATTCAACTAGAGCTTCATAGCTTTTTGTGTCCTCAGTGTATCACCAGAGCATTCTATTCACCGTGGTACAACATAACCCATTATATAGAAAGTATATGAGAAAACAGAAGTATAAATATAATCATTGATCAAATCATTTTCTAAAGCCCCCCCCCCAATTAAAAGTGGTTTACTTGCATGGTACAGTACATAGTCTGTTTTCCTATGTATTGTTATATAAACACAAAATACTAAGAGTGAGAAGTGATAATTTTTCCATAAATAAAGTGCATCCTACTACTGCCTTATCACCTTGTGCTGTATAATATTGTGATTTTTTTTTCATAGCATGTGTTTTGACTAATTTAAATTCATTTTCCCACAGACATTTGATCTGGGAACACAAACAACACCAGCATAAAACTGTTAGCCTTCTTTGTATGACTAATTTTTAGTGCTTCTATACCTCCTCTGCTTTATTTTACTTTGTCCATAAATCCACAGAGTCTATTTTTCAGTGAAATGTTATCTTCAGAACTATTGACAGGTAAAAATGTATTTCAGAGACTGTTATGAATCCTATATGTGAGCAGCTTGTCTGGTCAGATAGAGGCAGTATTTCTTTCCAGTGGCAGATTCCTTTTCAAAATGCTGTACACACAATTAGGCAGCTATATTCTATGTTCTTTAAGATCTTTGATAGAAAGTCATTGTTGTCTTCCTTCTGTTCCTTTTATTAAATCCCAATACAGTATGCTGGGGAGGAAGGGTAATTCTTTAGCCATTTATTATCTTCTCACTGATGTATCCAGGCATTGTGTAAAGAATAAGAACCAAGAATATGGTCAGAATTGCAATGAGCAGCAATGCAATGATGTACTTCTTGTACCGTTTCCAAATGAAGAAGACAAATGTTTTCATGGGGTTCACAAACCAGTTGAAGGATGTTTTGGGACGACTGGAGGAGACAAAAAAGGGGCAGGAACAAAAAGTATGTTTTAGATTGGGGGGAGATAAGGAAGGAATCAAATGCTAAAATTTAAAATATACAAACCATATGCTCTGTTTTTGTTGTATGATGGGTGGCTATATACATGTTTCAAAGAAATAAATTTGACTCCCGCTGACTATACAGATTCTTGGGTTCATAAAAGGCTCCTTCTCAAGCAGAAAGTTCTCTGGGTTCATCATCCTACATTCTTTAAAGCAGGGGTGTCTAAACTTGGGAACTTTAAGACTTTGTGGACTTCAATTCCCAGGGAATTCTAGGAGTTGAAGTCCACAAAATCTTAAAGTTGCCAAGTTTGGACACCCCTGCTTTAAAGAATGTAGGATGATAAACACAAGGACAACCACTGTATCATTCTGTTGGCCAACAGCAAGTGATATTCAGAGAAAAATTGCTTCTCATTCTAGAGACAAGATATAGTCATCACAAGTATACAATATTCTTTGCTTCAGCCCCACAATCTGAAAAGCTAATGATCTTCCAAACCTTGTAGCCAGTTTTTAAGCTGAATATGTTCCAATCCAATTACTGTATTCTATTTAATTAGCAACATAAAGAGGCAATTTCAGCGTATGATAATTTGGGATATAAATTTATTCTTGGTAGATTTATGTTCTCTCTCTCTTACTACTTTCCCGCTATCTGGATCTGGAAATGATACTATTAAAATATTAAAAAATAAAGTAGAAAGGAGAGTTTCCGGACATCTGATTGAAAGTGGGCCACATTCATATAAAATTATCTTAACATTACATTCAGCCAACTCCTCACACACCTTAGCAGGAGGATTCTAGAGAAGCCTCCACTATGTATTAATGGTACATTTTAAGTGGGAGAGCAAAATTGGGGCGTTTGTATGATCATCTGCAAACATTTATCAGCACTTACTTGGGTTTTTCCAAGGGTTCTGGTTCCTTTCTCCCCAGACCAACTGGGTTTTTTTCAGCTTCCTCTATAGTCAACAACTGAAATTCAGCTTCTACTTTTCCCTGGGGAAAAAGCGTACTGTGAAATAGCAGCTGACATTTTCAAGTGTTTGCTTATTAAAAGAAATACAATGCAATGAACTAAAATGTTTCTCCAAGAAGCAAAATTTCCATCACAGTTGAAAGCCAATTAAACCTAAAATTAATCCATCAAATTTACTGCGAAGAGTAAAAATCCATGTCTCCATCAATCATCAGAGAAAAGGGAGAAGTCAGTTGAGAGTCTTTAAGAAACAACTGCTCTGATACCTACCGTGTTTCCCCCAAAATAAGACAGGGTCTTATTTTGTTTTTTCACACAAAATATGGCTTGGGCCTTATTATGAGGGGAGGGGTTATTGTTTTGGGGTTGCCAGGCGGCTGCTCTCTTGCGAGCGGGCTCCCAAAGAGCTGGGCACAGCCTCATGGGCGAATGGCTGTGTTGCGCTGTCACAGCAGCGCAACACAGCAGCCAAGAAGTGACCACACTCATGAGCAGCCACCTGGCAAACCCCCTTTCAAGCCGGGCACAGCGCCATTCACTGACCTAGGGGTATCGCCAAGCCGCGTGAGCGCCTGTTCGCCGCATGGCTTTTTCTGCGGCTTCCAAACCGAGTCTTGCGGCAGTGGTCGCTTTGGGCATACGCTCTATGGTTGTGGGCCAGCTGCCGGCAGAGCGTACAGCCATAGAGCGTACACCCAGAGCGGCACTGCTGGAAGACTCGAAGGCACAAGGAACACTGTTACTTTCCCACCAAAGTATCCCTATTTTTCTACTTGCATTTTTACATGCTTTCAAACTGCTAGGTTGGCAGAAGCTGGGACAAGTAACGGGCGCTCACTCCATTACGTGGTGCTAGGGATTTGAACCACTAAGCTGCCAACCTTTTTGATTGACAAGCTCAGCGTCTTAGCCACTCAGCCACCGCATTCCTCATTTTTAAGGAATGGGAACCCTAAAATAAAAGCTGGGTTTGAGCCCATGTAATTTACTCCTTAATCTTTCAGGTACCACTTCAATATTGCTGCATGTTTTCTTACAGTTAAGATGAAGATATTCCCACTAGGATCTGAAAACTCCACATCTTCTGGCTTAACGGATCTCCTCCATTTCTTCTTCTTCTTTTTCTTCTGCTTAGCCTCCCTCTCTTCCCTTTCAATATCTTCCTGACTTTTCAATTTAATGAAGGGCCACCATCCTTTCATTCTTTTGTTTCGGAAGATAGAAAACCGTGGCATGGCCTTTTCCTTGGCCATCTTGATAGTGCACTGCTCTGAACTCTTGGCAGCTCTCACCATATCATTCAGCTTTAACTCAATGGACCCTAGAAAGGTTCAAACAACAGAGAATCTCAGGCACTCGCCCACTTACATAATATAAAATATACTGTATGTATAATATGTGCAATAATTTCCAAACCAGTAAGAATTTACTGGGAATTATATTAATTTTGGTCATAGTTAGCATGGCATCAAATCTTGATAGCCAACATAATTGAAAAAAATCACAACTAGATTTTAATGTCATCTTGTTGAATCCTGCTCAAATTGTGTTCATAAACCCAGGAGCACCTGCAAATAAGAGCCAAGGTGGTGCAGTGGTTAGAGTGCAGCACTGCAGGCTACTTCAGCTGACTGTTAGCTGCAGTTCGGTGGTTCAAATCTCACAGGGTTGACTCAGCCTTCCATCCTTCCGAGGTGGGTAAAATGAGGACCCAGATTATTGGGGGCGATATGCTGACCCTGTAAACCGCTTAGAGAGGGCTGAAAGCCCTATGAAGCGGTATATAAGTCTAACTGCTATTGCTATTGCTATAAATGTAACTGATAACCAAATAGGCTTGATCAAAGCTTCTGAACGCATAAGATCACCCTGGCGTTCTAGAACTCATGTTGTAATATCTTGGTAACCACTGGGTGGTGCTGTATATTTATTTTTCTCCTTTACTGCTTCACCAAGGATACAGATTTTATATCTATAAATAGGTAAGGTGACTTTCGCTGCATATAGCTACATAAAACATCCAAAACTGAACAAGGAGAAGAGGCGCTTGCCAAATTGTCCCTGGCATTCTGGGACCTGTCCTGTGAATAATAGCCTGGGAATTCAAGTATTTCTTTTTCCTGTTTCTGGCTCCCTCTTTATTTCATATTAACTACCTTCATAGAAGAACAGAACACCTTTAAGTAGCAAATCAAGGTCAGATAATTGGTATCGAAATTATAGATGATCTTTTTCTCCTAAATTTTCTCCTATTTCTGCCATGCATTCACGCACTAAAACAAGCTAACATTCCGATTCTGTGCATTGAAAAGAATACCTAGGAAATCATTTGCCGAAATCCTGTCGTAATCCCAGACTTGAAAGACTAAGACGGCTGGTTCACGAAATTCGGACTCCTCCAGAGAAAAAATAGAATCCTTCTTTTTGTACGTTATCTCTTTCTCGGTTGGAAGGTAATCGAAGCGGAAGACAAACCGCCAGTTGAAGTTCCCTTCCCCAGTCAAAGAATTAAAATGAACGTCTGTTTCTTGCTTGTCTTTCTCCAGTCCTTTGATCCAGCTGCAGGAGAATTTTTCATTAGCCTCTGGCAACATTTTAACATAAGGACGTTTCAGAATACAGGTAGTCCTCGACTTACAACAGTTCATTTAGTGACCGTTCAAAGTTACAACAGCATGGGAAAAAATGACTTGTGACCATTTTTCATGCATGACCTTTGTAGCATCCACACGATCATGGGATCAAAATTCAGATGCTTGGCAACTGGTTCATACCTGTGACTGTTGCTGTGTCCAAAGAAAGGACGTAAAAGGGGGCCAAATTCACTTAAGAAATGTTTCACTTTACAATGTGATTTCTAAACTTCCCAGCTGGATCATCTTTTGCAATCTTTTGATAGCAAAATCAATGGGGAAGCCAGATTCACTTAACAACGGTGGCAAGAAAGGACGTAAAAGGGGCCCAAATTCACTTAAGAAATGTTTCACTTTACAATGTGATTTCTAAACTTCCCAGCTGGATCCTGACAAGCAGAGTCATGGAGGAAGCTGGATTTACTGAATAAATGCATGATTTCTTTAACAACTGCGGTAATCCTCTTAACAGCTGTGGCAAAAATGGTCAGAAAATCGGGCACAATTCACTTAACAACTGTCTTGCTTAACAATGGAAATGTGGGGTTCCATTGTGATTGTGAGGACTACCTACATAGGATAGACAGTGTATTTTTATATGCAAGCTTGAAAAAAAAAGCAGCAGCAGCATTATTTAGGTGCCCCAAGCCAAAGTCTGTATCAGTAGAGCAGTGGTTCCCAAACTTGGCAACTTTAAGACTTGTGGACTTCAACTCCCAGAATTCTCCAGCCAGCAGCTGGCTG